CCCCCTTCGCCCTTCCCATCCAATTGATTGCTTGCGACCGCTGCCGCTTGGCGACCGCAATGGCTCCTCCTGTGCAACGGCGCAAAAAAAAAAACAGGCGCTTCACCGCTTGGCCTCCGCCAAGGAATTGCAGTCGGGGCTGTCCCGGAAACAGGCGGCGGAGGAACACAAGGATAACATCTCGAGGGCGTCATCTTTCTGGGACCGCTCGTTGGACATGGGCAAGGTCAAGAAGGTGGGTGCTGGTGTTGCTTGGCGTGAATCCAGCCAGAAGCGCTGGTGTGTTGTTGTTACCATGCGTCAAGAGGTGCCGAATTGAATGTTCCAACTATTGCATCGGCCACCGATAGCAGCGACCGTTGTACTCGCGAAAACCCCAAAATACGCCCTCCCCCGTAAAAGCCCTCGGTGTGCTGCAAATGCCGGTGCGGGTTTCTTCGAATCTTTGTCTCGTTTTTTTTTTTTCGGGTTAGTGGCCGCTTTTTTTTTTTTTTTTCAATGCGAACACGCGATGCGAAAAGGCGTATCATAGGTGAAGGTTGGGTTTCCAGCCAAGTTTTTTTTGTTAATGTGAACACGCGGTAAGGTGGAGGTAGGGTTTCCAGCCATGTGTTTTTTTTATTCAGCCATAAAGATGTACTTCTATGAGTAATGCGAAAACGCGGTGCGAAACGGCGGCACTTAGGTGAAGGAGAAGAAGGACCCCCAAGAAATGTCCGCCAGCAGCAGCGGCGACGCCTTCCAGGCAAAGCAGGAGCAGATGCACGGCCAAGCCAAGAGGCGGGGGTACCGTGAGGAGAAAGACACCCCTAGGGGGAACCACGCCAGAGGGGGGAGGGGTAGACGGGGCAGGGGCGGCGGGCGGGGTATGCGTGGGGGCGGTGGGAACCGGGGTGGGGGCAAGCGATGGTGAAAGCAATGAGAGGGGGGGGCTCCGAGGAGCCGTAAGGAGCTAGCCCACCACCTCGGTGTAGACAGAAGGGCTGTTTGCCGCGCCCCGCGCGTGCGCAAAGCAGGTCTCGGGGCTTGTTCAGCCCTGCGTGTTGTCTCTGGGCACGTACGTGTTTAGTGTTCTCGTTGTTGCTGGCATCGAGACTGCTTGCGTCTCTTACGGCTTGGAGTATAGCACCGTGAGTTCCTCGGTTGTATTGACAGTATGCCTCTGGTGCTGTGGTGCGGTGTGCACGTTTTCCCCATGGTGTCGGACGCCGGGGTGTTGTAGCGGCGCCAGGCGTGTTACCTATGGAACGATGCATGAATGGGAGCAGTGCCGACATGCTGTGTGTCTTTGCCCCGTTTTTTTTTTTTTCTTGTGTAGTTCCCTCTGTTGTGTCCTCTAGGAATCTCTCATTTTCATGAGTGGTTGCCTGTCAAACCGATGTGTATGCTTGCTGCTCTCTATCGGCCGTGCTAGGTGGGCTGACCAATGGAAAGAAGCCAAAGTCTTGCAGTTAGGGCCAACCGTGGCGTTTTGTAGTCCGCGGACCCCCCTCCCCCTACCACTCGCGTGTGTTTTCTCCGGATGGCAACGACCGCGCTAGCCAACGAGATGGTGTCAGTCGTGTGTACGTGCGCGTCGACAGTTCTCATCCGGTAATGTGCGCGTCTGGTCGTGGATGATAATTTGTTTGGCATAAGACGCATGCATCAACTCTTTGCTGGTGGGGTAGTGCATGGCGAACAAGTCTCGGTCGCGTGCTACAATGGCAAAGAAGAAGGGATGTGGTGCCTCTGCTCACGAATTATATTGTACCTTTGCTCACGAATGGCGAAAATCTGCCGAAACGGAGCTAGAGATTTAGGGGGATGAAATCGTAGCGTGTAGCATTAAGGGCGGGAAAAAATGTCACCTTGGGAGTAGCAAAGCAGTTGATATCATGGACGACGTGGCTAGTCTTTACAACGGAGGGAGGTGCGAGGCGAGACGGTGCATCCACCGGAATATCTGTTCGCGCGGGACTGTACCCGTAATGTCTTGAGTAGCTTGATCATCACCAATGCTTTTGTGGTGCGAACCTGGTTTTATGTAAGTTCACGTTGTGGGTGTGCAATCGATCGTGCGTGGAGTACTCGTCGATGTTCGCACGAATAGGTTCACCAAGGTGAAAACAGCTCTTCTTGTTGTGTTGAGTATTGCCTTTTTTGTTGTTGTGAAGAGCTGTGGACGGTCGTCCTCACACACTAAGTGAATGGGACGGTTGGGTGTGCGTGCTTTTGAGTGTTGAGAAGAACTAACGATAATGGACGCTTTTTATAGCCGCCCCCTTGATCCCCAGCACGTCTTGCGAACCCACAACAGCACAAAGGGGGGCTTCGTGTTTGTTTCCAATGGCGGTGTTTTTATGTCCTGGATAATTTTATTGGCTGGGACAATGATCATGTGTTGTCAGCGTCTGCCTCTATTGTTTTTTTGTGTTTTTATCGTGGGATTTTTTGTTTTCGCTTGTTCGCGTCTTGGCATGTTAGCGGTAGAGAGAATTCGGTATCCGTGAGTGAGTTCTTTTTGTGGTGCATGCGAACTGGGCGGGAGAGAAAAAAGCCAACAATACCGACATTTAGCAAGAGGCGTGGGTTGTGCTGCCTGCTTCTGAAACCAGCGCCACCCAAAAGAAAGGTGTGCAGGAGTTGGCGAGAATAGATTCGGAAGACTATTGAGACGGTGGACTCGCAGAAAAGCGACAATCAGTGACGATGTGGACATTGTTTTTTTCTTGTAACATAATCCATCTCTACCCATAGACAAGGGGCTGGGGCTGGTAACTTTTCTCCTTTGTCGTACCGTGTACTCTGGGCGTCGGTTGTCTACACAGTTCGGTAAAATTCTGGAGCACCAGGTACACAGGAGGAAGGCCACACAGGAGTTGTATTCTCTGCCTTCCTGCCGCGGTGCTGGCCTTATTCGCTCGAAGAATTTGGCCGTTTCTTCCCCCGTCGCCTGTGTGTCTTTATTATTTGCATCGACTGCGCCAATTGGCTGACCAATGAAAAGACGTCAGTTGGTCAGTGCGTGTGTTTGGTAGATCCATCCATCGTCCTTCGCGGTAGGTAGCCATGCCCTCCGCCGATGGTTTCGTACAAGTGAAGCAATAGGTTACGCTTTACTACATACGTTCCCGTTCCAACATCTGTTGAGAGCAGTTCGCCAACCCATATGAGGATGGAAGCCGCGAAAACTTCACAATGAATGGAGTACCACCGTGATAGCGGGACAATCGCCAACAGTATACAGGTGGTGCAGAAGATGGAGAGTTATCATCAGCACGCCGACAGACACAAGTGGGAACATTGTCTATAGGCCACCCCTTTTCTTCACATCCTGGGCTCACTCTTATTTCGACACGTACTCACAGAGCAGTGGGCTTACGCGCCCATCCCCAGATGCACTTCCTGTCCCGATGCCGAGTACACGAATATATTACCATGGTACGTAAAATACTACAGTCTTTGGGACCGTCAGTCAAACGTGTGGGGTTGGGGTACCACGGCGGCAGGCGCCCAAAACACCTCCCGCCTGGCTGGTCGTGTCGCCGAGCCTCTGACGCTTTGGACTTGTGTGACGCTCTGTCCCAGCGACCGACTCCTCTTGAGCTTCTTCGTCTTCTCTGGGTCGCTTCACGTTGACGACGTCGGGAGCGCCGTCCTCGCGTGGATGTGGTTCGACGATATACGGACGTCCAGGGGACGAGGACGGCGAAACTACCGTCGCTGGTGCTGCGTCTCCGCCGACCCCCTCCGCCGGGCAACCGTTACGGCCGCTCTCCTCGATGCCTCTGGCGGGTGCGAACCCTTCCAGTTGTAGCGGATCGCCACCGTCTCTGCGCCCTTTGCCCTCCCCCGCCGCCGCCGCCGTCGCCGCTAAGCCGTGTTCTCCGTCGATACCACCTCCGGCAGGTGCGGAGGGGCACCTTAGTTGAAATGGTGGTGGTGGTCGGTGAACTGCTGGTGTAGTACCGGACGGTGCTGGTGGCGCGGAGGGTACTGCTACAACCGGAGTTAAAGCGACCGGTGTCTCGGCCGCACCCTGGCTCTGGCTAGCACCGCCCGCAACCCAGATTCCGTCGGAAAGCCGGCGCCTTGAAGTACCCCTGGCGGCCTCGTACGGATCCTTGCCGGCTTCTCCGCCGACCGCTGCTCCGGCTGCTGGCGGCTCCACCAGCGCCGCCGCCGCCGCTGCCGCCAACGCTCTCTCACTCTCTCCGGCCAGCTCCTGAAATCTCTTGCGTTTCCTGCTCTCATTGTCCTCGGGGGGGGCGGGAGAAGCGCGGGCGGCGAGGGCGGCGAGGGCGGCGAGGGCGGCGGCGTGGGTGGGCGAACCCTTGCCGACCGAGGATGCCCCGTCAGCGCCGGCGGCGACGGTTCCCCCTGTGGCAGGGCTGGAAGAGGAGGATGCCAATGAGGGTGAGGGCGTGGGGAGAATAGGGCGCTGGACCGCGGGGGGCGCCGGCACGGGGCAGCGCGTGTAGAAGAGGACGTAGGCCTTGTCCCTCAGCACGGTGTCGAGCGTGACCTGTATGCACGCAAGTGAGCGCGTGCGCGTTGAGCTGGGGTTGAGCTGGCCCTGGTCCTAAGCGAGGACGTCGCTTTCTTCATCAATCGTGATTATCGGACGGGTTCAATGGCAGGAAGAGGGCAGCAGTTACATCGTGTACAGTGCGCACAAGCAGTGGCCGAGAACAACCAACCACCGACGAGTTAAATAAAAACCTTTAGAAAGGCGTTGTCGTGGGTCGCTGAGCCACCACTAGACTATAGCTGTACCGCACCAACGAAGAAGAAACGGGTAAATACATGATGCAGCAATATTCTACCGCTGGCGGCGTGGTTCGCCAAGGGCTGTGAGCACGTTGCAACCGCACCTTCGTCACCACGCTGTCGTTCATCCGTGCCCAACACCCGGCCGATGACCTCACGTAGGCGTAGTAGTGCCCGGAAGACATGGTCTTGCCCGAGTGAATCACAACCCTGGGAAGAAGGACGATGACAACAAGAGATATATGGGTGGTGCAATCAGTTGTAGTGAGATGTAGAAACGAAAAGTGCTGCGAATATCGGAGCGCGGGGTCTTCAACGGAGCACGACTTCATGCGAACCGCACGGGCATTGCAAGCGCATGGCATACAACAGCATGAAAGCCACCCTTAAATTTGCCGAGGTATACTACAGTATTGCCGTACAAAAGTTACCGTTGTCTTTCGCCCGACAACTTTTTCGGCCCAACCGTTGAGAAAAAACGGACGCTATTTCATCCTTCGTTCGCTTCCGGCCGTGAAACCTTGTCCCCTCTTGCACGAGAAGGCAACCCGTTGCGATGCTCCCAAAGGCTTACCCCGTGAGATCGTAGTTCGTCCAACGCTCCGGTCCCGACACCTCAAGGTTGAGCTTGTCGCCGAAGGAAATGTGGTCGTTGACCTTTCTCGGCCCATTCGTGAAGCCGAACCTTTTCAGCTGGAACACCAACGCGTTCGGTGGCTGGCATGCCAGAATGACAGAAAATGAACAGAGGAGGAAAGCTTACGACGCTGAAAGCTGTCTCAAGTCAGGGCACATGAGCCGACGGTGGTTTGAGAATCAGTCCTACACTCCCCCGTCTCCTCCCTCCCGCCTGCAGGACCATCTTCTTAGAAGGGCGTGTCCCTAAAGTTAATATTGGAATCTACGAAAGGTGTAACCATAAGTATCAATTGTATTCATAGTTTTTGTTTTTGGGTCTTTGAAGGGCAAGTGAGGACACACGTACTGCTTTCAATCTTTGTACGACTGGCCTTCTAGTTGTGCAACACTCTGCGTCTCTCGCTAGCCCGTACCTTGAATACCGACAAATTCTTCTCCGCTTCGACCAGCTTGTTGCAACCCCCGCACTTCCACTCGTTGCCAGCGCCGAGGGTTTCCGGGGCGGTGAAGCGCCTGAGGGCCGCTTGGAGAGACCTCTCCTTCATCGCCACGCCGCGTGAGTCGACCTTCTCGACGTTCATGGCCAGGTCCATGAAGGGGTCGAAGGTGTCGCTACAGAAGCCACACTTCGAGCACTCAAGCTGCCAAGCGCGGGGAAAAAGACAGAAGAACGGGCTGAGGAGCGCTACTACTTCACAGACATGCGATGTGTGGGTCGATGGAGCAAAATCAAAAACAATGACACGCAACACGTCCTCTTCTTGGTACCCGAGGGGGAGAAGAGAAGGAGACGGCAGCGTTCAAATAGCAAGAGAACGTGGAAGACGGCTATCCCATATACTGCCTTCGAAAAACGTTACACGTGTGGACATACGCGTGCCTGCGAGTGCGCCATATAGGAGAAAAAAATGGATACCATGTTACCATGCACCTGACTTCGGAGGTATCCTCCGAAGACACGGTGAATTGGAGTCGTCTCCCCCAGCCTGTTAGATGCAAACGGGTCTACCCCTCGGCGTTCGAGGTAGGACCCCGCCATCTTGTCCACCAGGTGTCTTAAGAGTTCGTGGGCGTCTTCCTGGCCGTAGGGTGTTGCGTCCCCGGACGTGCGTTGGTCAGGAAGGAAAGAAAAACAACGCAAGGAGATAGGTCGTGTCCTGTACTTGCTTCAAGAATAATTGCGTGTTTTCGGCGAGCGTTCTCCTGAGCAAAATAAAATGATCTCAACAAAGTGTCCTACCCCCACAGTCGGTGCTACCTACTAGCTAGGTTCATCACCTGTCTGCCCCGCCGGAATTTCTCCCCGATCTTTCTCAGGTTGTCGGAAAACGTGCGCGGCCTGATCGCTTGTTGATCTGCTGACCCTGACTTGGTCTGGTGGATCTGAAAGAGGGGGAGGTCGCGCGAGATACCGAGCAAAGCGCTCAAATACAAAACCCGCGCGGACATTTGATGTTGTAGGAGCACCTGTGATGTCTCTGAATACGTTTGTTCCTGGGTGGAGGGGGCACGAGACAACCAGTTCTCCCCCTATTTGTACAGGGGGTAACTGGAAGGCACTTCGAATTTGGTGGGTCGTGGGTTGTTCGGTCGCCACGGAATGTACACACGAAAGAAAACGTTGACGCTGCTGATGGCATGGGCTGGCGAGGGTTAATTTGGTAAGCATCTAAAGGTATGCCATCACCGAGAAATGATTGTTCCATCACCAGCGGATGTCCAAACGTCAGCAAATCAGTCTCTACCGACCAAAACTTACTACTACGAGCCAGGTGATACATGCAATTTTCGGCCCAGGCTGGAGGTCGATAATCATCACCCAAACATCGCGGCAAGCTGAACACACACCCTCACCTGTCCCACAAGCTTCTGCATGGCCCCTAGGATGTCGTCCTCACCGAAGTCGGTGGACCCGTTGAGAGGAAGCGGAGACTCGGAGCACGTTGCTTGAGACCCCTGAGTTAATGTCGATGTCGATTTCGCCGAAAGAAAGACAGGAGATGGAAAAACATTGGCTGTTGAAAACAGGGCCGTTTAGCTCACCACGGAAGGGAAAAAACTCGACAAACGATCACCGCAGACAGGCAGTAGGTGGAGACTGGAACTTGCCCAACATTCTGTGGTTCCAGGTGGAGAAGGGAGCGGATGGCACCATTTCGTTTTACACACAATTATCTAAAGATGATTCACCTGCGAGTAACCGCCGTTCAACAGGTGCTGGGCCAGAGGGGGAACGTAACTCAGGCACTGTAGAATCGAGTTCAGGTAGCACGTGTTGCCCATGTTCTCCAAGCCCACTCCGATTTGGCAAGGCCATCGCCATGTGAGGTTCGGCCTAACCTGGCTTTCAGGGTAAAGTTCCTGTTGGCAAGGGGATGCAGGAAAAATATGGGGGGGGGTGGCGGATAGCAAGAAGGGTGTCACGAACGTGCTCCGTGGGCTTACACACGCAAGTACGAACGGGTGTTGTTCGATTCAACATCCATGAGCACGCAGCGTTATCAGTCTAAATTTAACCGAAAGCTGAAGCAAACGATTTACACATTTCGTCGCCATTCTTTGGAAATGATATGCACACCTGTTGCTTCGTGGGGAGCCTGATATCCTTTTCAGCACGTCGCGCCAGTTCGTCGATGTCTCTCGTTTGCTGGTCGGAGTCTCTACCGTTCTGTCGTGAGGAATCATGAGCACCACTGCCGAATTGCGGTCGCTCATCGCGTCTCCAGGTCGGACTTCTTGTCGAGAGCTCGTTCCTCCCGATGGAGTCGATCCCTCGTTCTGAGAAGTCTGGCGAGAAGGACCGCTCGGTGCAACCACTCGCCGCTATACTGAATACGCTGCTGAGGTTGTTGTTGTGTGACTTCTGTCCGACGTAAAACGTGCTACTCGGTCCAACAAGCTCAAATCCGGCCATTTCTCCCCTGCCTCTTTCGTTTACGGCTGCTGGTGGTGGTGCGGTAACAGCTGGTTGTACACCGGTCGCTTTCGTTCGCTGTCCCTCGGGCCACCACAGCTGGCCGTGCCCGTACTGCTGCTGCTGCTCGCGGGGGTGCGCTCGGCCCGTCCCTGCATGGACAGACTCCCACCCTTTCCCTGCTGCCATTCCGTCTGCTCCTGCTGGTTGTCCTCGTCCTTCTTGTCCGGCGAATCTTGTGTCTGCTGCCCCCACACTTACTCCTGCCAACGGGCACCATCGTGCCGGCTGTTGGCTCCGCTGCTGCTGATGCTGCCCTTGCGAGAAAAAGGTAGCGCTCGCCCCGACGTGCAACTCTACTTGTTTGTTCGACAGCTTCGGTGGGCTTTGTTCCCACCGCCAGGACGAGGTTGGCCGCTGCCCGAAGGTGCCCCCACCCCCGCTGTGCCAGATAACCCGTCCGCGCTTGCCTTGCCGGCGAAGACCGAGGTTGCGGCGGCCACCACTCGTGGTTACCCACGAATTACCATCTCCCATGCACCTCCCCATGGCTGTTTTCGTCCGCTGTTAGTCTTTGTGTAGAGACTTCAGGTATTTGGGACGAATGCCGGCGGTCAATGTCTGTCTGCTGCGCTTCTGTCGCAGTGTTCTCTGGACGATCTCTCTCTTCGTTGGGCGACGATAGATTTTGTGCGAAACGTGAAACGGCTCAAAAAAGAGTTTGAACCCAGAGAACCAAAATACAACGAGTGGACGACCCGGGGACATTGGTATTTGACCCCGCCCCCCAACCCTCTCTCTCTCTCTCTCTCTCCTGCTGCCTGTTGCTCGCAGCTCGCAGCATGCCAAACACTCACAATGGCGATCAAAGATGAGCTCTCCGGGCTCAACCACGAGCTGTCTATGTTTCCTGAGCGAGCATTCGAGTTCAGCAAAGCGGGAGGAGTTGTCATCGAGCAGGTAGGTTTGGGTCAGTGGTTTCCTTATTCGATATGCTCTTACAGCAAGCAGTATTCATACTGCTGTAGTACTGCTCCTGTTGTCCAGTATCCATATACGAGCACTTGATCAGGCAGTCTACAGCGCAGCAGCTACCAGCCATGTACTATGTATGGTACGAATTGTCTGCAGGCTGCACCTCGGCGGGTATGTACCTTTCCAGTTTTTTAGAAAATAGATCTAGTCTAGAGGCCTGGCGCCGCTTTTTTCTAAATCTCTCCTGCTGCGTATAGGAGACGAAAATATTCGAAATATGTTCAGGAACAGGAGACCCACCACCACACTAGTTCGCCTGACGTAACCAAACTCCAGGCACCACGTAAGGTGCTGTTGTTGTTTGGACTCCACCGTTGGGCAACGAAGGCCACACCTACATCTGGCGGTTGCTCTGCGTGTCGGAAGTCGGAAGTGAGGCGTGGAGCTCGCTACGCTGTTTCTACTTAGTAGACTACTACTTTACGTTCCAATCAAGCATTCGTGTATTTGATAATCGTATCATCTGCCTCTCTTGTTGCTGTTGGGTTGTTGCTGGATGAGATAAGACAAACCAGACGGAGGAAGAGAAGACGAGCCCTGTCTGGATACGAATGCACACACAGCAAGCAGTGCTAGGCTGAAATAGTATCATTAGACGACAGCAGTAGACAGCGATGACTATTGTAGTCTAATTGTTTGATTGTTGGACTAGTCAGAGCTGACTCCCATGATTTTGTTTCGACTCCTACAAATGGTAATGGTAGGGTCTGAATCACCAGACCTCCCAAGCTGTCTGCACAATCTACCCGGATTGGGCCTTATCGACCTTCAATCCCCCCCTCCCACGTAGATTTGTTGTGCGGGGTCGAGAAGCCTCACTCCGCGCACAAGTGATAAATCGCTTCACGTTGTGTTGAATTGGTCAAGCACCCTCGACGCAGTTGCACAGTGCTTATTATTGCTGTCTCTGGAAGTGAAAGCACCAGAAAATCAATGAAGTCATACGCAGCTGTCATCCGTACGCAAGGAGTAAGCACAAGATGCCGAACACCCTTTGCAGGATGCAGCGCGCCCTTCATGCGACTCGCCGAATACCTCACGGCGCTTCGCGCTTGGTGATGTGAGAGCCTGGTCCGGTGAGAACCCGGCGTGCTCCGTCCCGACCTTGTAGGGATGCGAGGTCAATGGTCTAACGACTACGGCATGCACGACTATGAGTACAACACCCCCCCACGCCTCCTGCCGACTCACCCTTACACCCGACCGCCGAATAGGATGTGGCCGACGTGGGGTCAATTGTCTGGGACGCAGAGATATTATTGGCCCACTACCTTGATCAGGCATACGGCTCCCGGCTGAGCGGAATGCGGGTGTTGGAACTCGGCGCTGGAACTGGCCTCGCCGGCCTCGTGAGTGCGTGGAGAAGGTTTGGTTTGTCTCGGGGTGTCGTCCTTATTGACGGGGCGCGAGATGGTGGTGGACTGTAACCTTCTTCAAAAGAACAGTCGAACCTTCCAAGTTGATGCATCAGGTTAGGGTTAAACTTAATATCAGCTTCATTCATACTTCTTTGCGAGACCTTGGTTTGAAGAAGGCCCGGATTTAATTTGGAAGTCGTGAACTTTTGTAGCTGTACCCGTCCCAAACCTGTAAAACATTCTGGCAACGCCCGTCTCTTGAACATCCAGGTGGCAGCAAGGCTCGGTGCATCCGTCATTCTCACAGATCAGTCTAAGCTTTTGCCGACGCTGATAGCAAACGCTCGCGCTAACGCTCAAGACCTCGAGTTTAGCCGTCAGCCACCTGCCACTCCGGGCAGTCGGGACGGCACGTCAACGCTGCCTTCTGACGACCTTGCGGATGTTCTTTCAACGCCCCCTGAATCGGACAACACTTGCTCTGTTGCAACAACGCCTAGCATTGCAAAAGGCGAGGGGGAGACTGAGGATGTGCCTGTATGCAGGAAATCTGCGAGGCGACGAAAGGGCGGCGACGACGAGGGGTTGAATCAAGTCGACACGCCCAAAGACAGCACCGTCAACGTCGTAGCGTCCAAGCCAGATGATCGAGTGTTATCCACCACGATGTGCTGTTTAGATGGCGGGGGTAGCAAAGGCTGCTGGCGAGTAGTGGAGCTGCTGTTTTCTGAGAGCGAGGAAGAATTGCTGCGATGGCGCCGCATGGCGGGTGGAGGAGGAACAACGGGAGGGCCTTTGCGTGTTGTGCCCGAAGGGGATCCTGAAGGCGACAGTCACGACGGTCTGTTTGATGTAGTCGTGGCGGCCGATGTGGTGTACCTCAACGACTTGTGGGATGCCATGGCGTTCACCATCAAGGTGCGGGTACCACACGTTGCCGATTGCCGTAAGAGGCGGAGAGATGGCACCCCCCCAGACTGATTTTCGGAACTCGATTGCTCCACAACCAAGCTTGTGCCAAACACCTAATAGAGTGGTTTCGGAAACATCTCGTCTGGGGCTTTCCGTAGAATTGATCGGGCTCTTTTCAGTACTTGGTTGTGGAGCAATCGATCTTTGAAAGTCGGTCTAGGGGGGTGCCATCTCTCCGCCTCTTTCGGTAAGCACCTCACTTTCGTGGACGACACGGGCGTCGACGCTCTCGTCCGCTACTTAACGGCCCGACTAACCCCCACCCTCACCCGGCGTGTACAGGCGTTGACGAAGCCAAGCGGCGAGGCTTTGATGACCTTTGAGCAGCGACGGGGGAACGTGGATGGGTTTTTCGGCCCCCCGAGGTTCGGCCGTGAGGAAACCGGGTGCTGTTGGGGCCATGGAGAGGAGGTCGACTTTGCAGAGGGGGTCGAAGCCGGGGAGGTGTTAAGGGACGCAGCAAAGGCTGCTCGAGTTCGGATGTATCGCATGCGTCGAAGCGGTAGACGTGTTCCTTGACGGCTGTACTGTGCATGACATCCGCACTTACATCAGACCAAGCATTCTCTTTCAGGTGGATGCGTAGGCGTGTGTGTTCCAAGTCCAGCCATTGCTGGGGGCGGTCTGTAGGGCGTACACGTCCACGAGGGCAGAATTGTCGTACGAGACGTGGAAATGTGATGTTGGCGACTGTGCCATATTCGTTGTATTCCCAGCCTCGATGGCCCCTACGAGCAACTGCAGGCAACTGATATTGTTTGGATGGGAACTTAGCTCGTGGGATTGTGAATTGTGCGCAGAATTGGCAATAACCTGGCGACGAAGCCGTTAAGGACAAAAACACGAAGGATCATTCAGCCATCGATGCATGCAAACGACGCACCATGCATCACACATCTCAATAAACTGAACAGCCAACCAACGGATTGAACCATCAAGAGCGGGGTGAACGCTCGTTCGACAGAGAACGCCTCGGGGCGCTATAACAGCAAGCAAGCAGGAGACTGAGCGAACTCCCCGGTGGTGCAGTGTTGGTTTTTTCTTCTGCGTAAACGCGCAGGGACGTTCTTCGGATTTTTTGCAGGGGAAGTTCAGAGAAACCATCGCCCGGCGGGGCGAGCAGGAAACACAAGCTGGGTCTGCTGCCAAAGCGATCAGATTTGCTCAGCATATCGTAGTGGGTATGGGCGTTCTTTTTCGAGTTCCCGAGTAGGAACTTCCCGCGGGGCGAGCAGGGAACAAGTTCAGGTTTTGGAACCTGAATCTGCTGCGAAAGCGATCAGGCATGCCAAACAGACATCAGACAACGTCGTATTCATCGCCGAGTAGAATCAAGAATCCGCCCATGCTGGGCCTGAAGGCAAACTAGCACACGACTCGACCAAGAAAAAACAACTGCCAAGCAACGAAAATCTACTGAAGACGAGAAACAACGAAATACAGCACCCTATAATACAGAGTAGGCAGAGCAGAAAGGCATCGAAACCAAAAACAAGAAGCATGACAAACACTATACGAAAACATTGCAAGATTCCAAATGGTACTGATGATCGTCCCGTGGGGCGTTTACCCCGCTCCTAATGGTAGTCGATCGGCGACGTATCAGCGATCGCGTTCAAGCACGTGCATCTTGAAACTCCCGCAGGAGAGCTGGTAGCCGTCCCGCGCTCCCTTCTTTCCGCACACGAACTCTGGAGCCGTCTCCCAGGCCAGGCCGGCCGCTGACATACTTTCGCTCGAGGCAGTGGAAGTAAGCTTCTCTGCCTTCTCGGCTTCGGAACTTGAGCCTGATTCGGTCAACGGGGTGGGCACGAGGATGGTGTCCAGCATGGGTTGGGTTAGGGATAAAGGGTAGGGTCCTGATGCTGAATGGAAGCACCACTGGGAGGGAGACTTCGAAAACGCAAGCAATCGATTCATCGCGATAACCACGGCATCACGTCTGCCGCGCTCACTTGTGAGTATTGCTCCCGCTGTCCTTTTCGAGGGCACCGTGAATCCCCCGGCCTATCCCCCCCGCACCACCCCCATCGGGCCGCAGCATGCCCAGTGACGCTTGGCGGCTCCTGCCCGGCTTGAACGAGTGAAAATTGACGAGGAAAAAGGACAGCGAGAGGCCCAGGGGCTCCCGTGGCTCTCCGGCCCGTCTCCACAGGTTGAAGAGCTCCATCGTCATACGCGCATCAGCCGCAGCGTTGTGAGCCCCCTTGCAAGAATGCGAAGGGGGTCATACGGCGTGGCATGGCCGGTGATTTGGTCATATGAGTCTTTGGAACTAAAAAGGTGATTCATATGCTATGCATCATTTCACCGTGGGACTCACCCTAAAAACCCTAACCCTAAGGGATTTGTGAAAGTTGGTTTTCACGCTGTTGAATAGGCTCAAACCGGTGAGTCAAACGAATAGTCTACACACGCAGTGTTTGTCACCATATTTTATGCTACTGAAGCAGCCACCTCAACGTTGGCCCTGCCCCAACACACAGTCACACGGCAGGAACGTCAAACAAAGTGTTGTGCCCAAATATCGCCCGACTAAGCTTGTTGTGATCCACAACAAGGTACATTGACACTCAGAGAACGGGGTTCATCACGACAGGCGGGACTCGAGGCCGTCCGGCCTTCCTCGCACCTCTTCCATCCTATCGAAGCAATGAGCGTACGCCTCCTGGAGCGTGCACTTGAACCCATTCATCGTCCTGGACAGATCGGTTACCTCCACTACCCGCATCCTTCGCCGTCCTACCCATGCTGCTGCATCTGGACTCTCACCAGCGCGAGAGCGGGCGGTGCTGCTGCTGCTGGTGTTGCTGCCGTTGTCAGGAGCAGTCTTGAAAGGAAGACTGCTGCCATCGATCGGAGCTCTCTCTGTTGGAAGGGCCTCTCGCTCGCCGCTTCTTATTGTACTGGCGGCCTGTGGGTGCATACCAGTGTTGTCGATTGTGATTGAGTCTATTACACCACACCACAGCCCATTGTGATTGAGCCTATATCGCCAAACCACAGCCCGTCACGGATGGATGCTAGCTAGTGGAAAGTGTTTCGTGGTCGACGGGATGAGCCATGTTTTTCGGCCTTTTACCTCGTCTTACCGATGACTTGCGCGTGAGGCAGCCGAATAAAACCACTTACCAGAAGATTCTGAGATATCCACTGCGCGCATCTTGCTGTATGCTTGGACGAAAGTACTTCTGTGTGGCCACCCGACGTATGTGCGTACCTTCTCGAAGCCCAAGACATCGAGGTCATTGTGTAGCTCCCATCCCACTACGACGCCACCTTCCTCGACGTGCCGCCTGAGGAAGTCCGAGGCGCAAGATGCAGGAATCCCCTCTTCCCATGTGGACAATAACCCCCTGAAGCGACCAAGCGGTCGTAGTGTGGCGACAAATCGACGGCAGTCGACACGGAAAATAATCGCTAAATGGTAGGTAAGGGGGTTGAGAGTATGGGGGCGGTTGGGTGAATGGGTGCGCCCGACAACATGATGCATGGCGGAGCAATCCCACGAAGTAGCTGATGCGCTTTTGACTGATACTCACCGCCAGACACCAACTCACCCCTGCATTCTGGCAAACACTCCGTCAGTGACCTTGCACCCTCTCTACAACGCGACCCTCCCGTACAGCAAGGTCTCCAGTCGCTCATCCACGACGCCAACGGAGACCATCGCTCGCCTGGTCGGAAGATCTGCAGGTCCTTCGATCGTGACCATCTCGATATCCACGGCGTAGTAGCGCGTTCCGGCGTCGATGCCTCTGTGGCATGAAAAGGGCTGGGACGGCTTGCGAACGGCGTTTGGTGGTCTCTGTTGAGTCATGATGATGATGGCCGCGGAGCCTGCGGCGTTGATGATTTCAAAATACGCGACAAGCCTGATCTCTGCTCGTTTTCTACCGACGAGTTTTGTTGGCTCTCTTCTTGAAGATATCCAAGTACAGCACCAAGCCGTGGTGTTGAAGTAACGCCTCTCGAAAACAGACAACCACGAGCGCTTCGTGCGAAGCAGAAGAGTGAGATGCACATCCCAAGCATAGATACAGATCTCCGTCATCTCCGATTGAACGGGACGGGGCGGGGGGTGGTCCGATCTGTGAAGACGCCGCGTGGCGTTTTACCCTGCATCACATACCAGAGTTTTGATTTCTGACTGTTGGGTGGCTAGTGTTTAAATGATCGTGAAGGTGTAGAGCGGGGGTGTGATTTGTGTTGTCCCGGTCTCCGCTCTTCTTTCCCTCTCCCCCCTTGGCGAGCGGTGGGGGTACGCAGAATTAATTGGCAAAGTTCGAATAGCATCTAGAAAAAACGTCTTACACATAGTCTGTTACCACGTAATGGCCACTGAACCAAACAGCAGGGTTGCCCTGTTTTCTGCAACAAACCGCACAAACGCCAAGAAAAAAATTCAAGCCAAAGCCATGCCACACATTCAATTCCAACAGGAACAAAAATACGCACAGACACTTGTGACTTCCGTAGAATTCACCTGAAAATGAGTACCAAACGAAACAGAAAAATAACAGCAACAAATAAGCGAGCGCCTCGAATACGATATTATATCGGACTAATTTCCAAGACAAAACAAACACACACCACGGGCAAAACAGCGTACTCGCGTACTCCCGCACTACTACTCTCCGCCCCCTCTGTTGTACTTGAGAAGGGCAGCTGCGGCAATGCGATCGCTGAAGCTCGACTCCTGCCTCTGGTCCAAACACGCACGCAGAATAGAAAATACTCGCTCCATGAAGGCAGAGGATGGCTGAATCAGTGATGTGCGGCGTGTCCTGTGTTCCTGTGGTCTTGGTCTTCGGTCTTTGGTCTTTGCGTCTTTTCTCTCCTCTCTTCTTGTACAAAAGTCAAGTAGTTTTAATCAACAGTAATCAAGGTTTAAACAACGAATGTTTTTAATTCACACCGAATCTCCAATCTCCAGATCTATCTACGATTTGTTGTCGGATCTGTGAACTTGAAACTAAAGAGTTAAAAGACCAAGAGGCTTTGAAGGGGATAAAAAAGCTCTGTTTTGGTGACAATGGCTGTTTGAGCGTCTGAGCCACCCCTCCCCCCATCTCACTCGTTCATAATCACCGCTATGCACGATAACCCCTGTTATGCACACTTTTATGCATAAATATATACTCCCTCCGTTCCGTAATATGAGTACGGTTCGGACAAAAAGCGGTAAAACTCGGGCCCATCTTGGTTTTTCCCGAACCGTTTTTTTTGTTGGTTCTGGCCTCGAAGCGCGGAACGCACAGAACCGGTGTCATTTTGGTGTCCCACCGGAAAACACCTCTCTCCAACGCAGCTCAAGTTGCTCGAAATCACCACCCCATCTTTGAAGCTCCGCCCAAAAGCCTTCCCATCGTCATTTGAGGCGTGTCAGTGGTTGGGGGTGCCTCCCAGCAGCCAAAACGCAAGAATTTCAACGAATCTCAGAAAAACGCGGTGATTCGGCACCTGCGTGGGAAAATGCTTGGATTTCCCCAGATTTCTCTGACCCGGGGACGAAAAGAAACCATCCCCGCCCGTGTTCTTGATCAACTTCTTTTTTTTAGCATTAAAAAATCATATTCGATCACATATCAACCTTTGCGGAGGTGTCGCCATGTCTGCATGGCACAGCAGTATTGGGCATACGTGCCAAACCGTACTTACATTTGAAATTCCCAAACCGTACTTATATCGTATTCGAGGCGCTCTCTTATTTTATTTTTTTTCCCACGAGGTCCTCAGCCTCTCTGCTGCGGTGCATATATCTTTTGGAATTTCCACCCGTTGTTCTTTGTTTCTTGGAATCCCGCGATCATTGGACATTGTTCTCGATCCACGGCCAACCGGCAGTTGTTGAGCAAAGCAGCACGTTAGCATCCTTTGGTTCAACGCGGGCTGCCCACGGTTGATTGGACACTATCACAACCCTCCAAGTTTTTTTCAGCCCTTTCCATGCCTATCATGGTTGATCGTCGTTGAGGTACATTGCCCGTGTTTCTTGTTCGTGTTTCTTGTTGTGTTCGATGTGCGAGGACCCAACGCAAAGCGCCCCTTTTTTCCCCCTGTTGTTGTGGTGGCCGAATCTCATGGCAGCGATCCACACCATTGAGGTCGAGCTGCTTCCGAAGCTGACGAGACGCAAGTCGGCGACCATTGATAAGGAAGATTTTTGAGGAGAATGGCGCGAGAATGTACGCCGGCATCCAGACCGTATTGAAGGACATGTGAGCAACGAGTGCATGCATGCATCGTTGCTACTGCAGTACCAGCTGTTGCCTTATGCAGTTTCGATGGATTAAATTACCCTGTTGGGGGTCTGGTAAACTGTGTGTTTGTGACATGGATCGTTTTGGTGATGAGGTAATTGTGTCCTTGATAGCAAGTGCAGATTAGATGTGGTCTTACACAGCCGCACGTTCCCCTTGTTCTTGTTCGGGGGCGCGCCCTGTGTTGCTTGTTGCTAATTCTGGCACCCTAGGGACATGATGTGGCGATTCATCAAGAAACGCCTGGCTTCGACGAGTACCTACTGTCGAAGGGACGACTTTTGGGACAGGACCTGCTTCACGAGTGCTTCCTCGCGCAGGTGACAGAATGGGTGTTTGCACGTTGTACTTCACTACTGTACCTGGCAAATTTCCCTCAACACTACCAACCGAGGCAGAGAAGGTGCCATGGACAACGTTGATTTATTCCCACGTCTACATAGGCCAGGAATAATCTCGCTACATTTATTTCCTCCCGAAGTCCGGCTTTTCCCGCAACTCTTCAAGACGCACTTGTGTATTGGCATGGCGAGGCATGGGGAACGGGGTGCTTATCCCGATTGATAATTGCGTCGGAAGTAGAGGCTACTGATGCTTCTAGACTGAGTGACCTGGGAACGTTAAGAGAACAGAGAACCAACTATGGTGTTGGCAGAACCAGCGAGAAGTAGTTAAATAATGCCTCAACATCTGCAATCGTTTCAACACTACCCTCTCGAATACCCTGCTCATCCGGCCGGAAAAGTGGGAAAGACGTTGAAATCCCCTCCCGGCGTTCTTGATCCGCAAAAATGAGTAACCTCTCCACCACCCTCGGGGTGGTCGTTGTAGGCATCAAAGATTGCCCAGCCCCCCGGGACGAACGAAAAATAACTACAGCCGTATGCCTTTCGGCAATCTACAGCTTGCTTCACCTCCGCCGCAGCATAGAAAATATATGTCGCATCCTGGACGTACGTCGGAAGATACGCTTAACGGGATACGCATCTTTCTTTGGCTCCTCACCCCATCTGCCTACCCGTGGTTTGCCCTTCTCTTCGTTACGTTTGGCCACGATGCTTGTGCAACATGCTGCACGCCAGGTCATGGCGCCCTCGTCGCCATGCGTCCACCATCCTCACGGAGTACGGAAAACCTGACATCGTGCGCTTCCTCTCCCTACTTGCGAACGGGAAGGGCAACCTCATCGTGAAGAGACCCTGCTCGAAGACGTGCACTTCGACGTTGCCAACCTCGGGCCTATTCGTCGGCGACATGAAGTGATGGCTGAGTGTTGTGAGCACTCATCCCTTCTTCATTAAGTTGAGCTTCCGCGCGGAGTAGCTAATTTGTCGGAAAACTCTTGGGCGTGGCGCTTTGTGTGGCGGTTGGGCATGTCCCAGCCGTAGATTGCCTATGGTCAGCGGATTCGTCAGGTTTTAGCCCAATATTGCCATGCGATGGTTTACTACTATTATGTGTCTTAATGTAAATCCAACCAACCGGCTGGCACGTGCGTAAGTTCGAACGGATTGTAGGTGGTGATATTTCGTCCGGCAGGGGAGAGGGCGCAACCGAGTATTGCGTGTGGATGGCAAAGAACATCATACATGGAGCAAATATGTTGCAAAGATTGCCGGCTTGAGCGGGATGGAGAGGATGACAATTGCTTGAGTGCCGCTATTGAGAAGACAGGGAAGCGTTGTTTGTCTGTGATGTGCATCGTGTGTCCTGACCGCTTTGTAATTAGTATCATGGTTCAAATGTCGTGTTTTGCTAGACAGTCGTGGATCAAAGCGGGTGCAGACCGCGCCACCACTGAACCTCTTTTTTTGGCCGAGGCGTATTTCTTGTTTTGTCTACGGGTTACCACCATAGCGACTATATAGGTTTAAGTGTAGATATCCTGCTTGCCTTGAAAGCCAAGTTCTTAGATTTTGGATTTTTTTAGGCTCAAGTTCTTCAAGTGGCGGCGCGTTCTGTATTTCGCACGGTTTGGCGACGAGGCGATGAACGAACATGAACGCAAAGAAAACAGTCCCGCGATCGCGATGGTAAATTAAAAAAATAGTGTACCAGTACAGACACCATACTGAAATCGCGGCCGCAGATTGCTTGCAAAGTGCGATTCGGGCCACCCTGGCAGGGTGGACCCTGTCCAGGGTGTTCAGCATAGACCTTGCAGCCGGTTCACCTTTCTGCCGTTCACAGGGTGGTCAAATGGCTACGGGTGTGTCTCTCGCTTGGGGAACGTTCGATCCTATTTGTACGCGAAGGGAAGGGGTGGCGAGTACCGTGAGACGAAGTACCTTCTTTCCAAGACCGTTCAGTCGTTTACTCATCATGAAACTCAACAGAGGCGTAGAGCCAAGCCGCGGGGGGAGGTTCAGGGGACTCTTCGCGATATTCGTGTATGTGGAGGGAAAAGCCGTCATCACGTCACGGGAGTTTTTTTTTTTTTTGCCACCGCCGGGACATTGATACTATGTGTTCGTGAGGTGGATTATGCCATCCCTACGAAGGCTACTACTACTACTGCGGTAGTACTCACGTGTAGTTTTGAGCTATGTAAGTGCGCAAGTACGTGGCCGTCCATCGGTCATTTGGATCTTCGGGGTATCTCCGGTAGTGGTATCTTTGGCAAGTTGTCACGCGTTCCGTGCTGTCTGTCATCATGTGTTCCGAGTTCCGAACGTTATGTGTCTTGCGACTGTTAGTTGCTCGCGTGGCTCGGTGTTTGTGATGCACCCTGGTGCCCACTCTAATGTGAAGACAACAGCAACAACTCTCTTCCGTTGCTTGTGTCCACGAGGACGACCAATAGAACGACTTTACCATCTCTTCACACTGTCAACCGGGATAGCCATGCTCATCCAGCAGCACTCGGCTTGGGGACAATCAACAATATGTACTGGTGTTCCTCGGTGCGACGCTAAAATATGCTCGTTTTTTTTGTTCATTGACAAGAATGCGATATATATATACCGTATATGCCACCCGTATATGACACAAGATAGCACACCCCCTTGATCGATTTTCGAATCTCGATTTCTCAACTGCAGGAACAGTCACAGCGCCGAAAACCGCGACGTTGAAACCGTCTCAACAGCTTTTCGAAAATGTATCATTTCGTTTATGCATTCTCTTCGTCGTGGAGTAATCGAGCTTTGAAAATCGGTCCAGGGGGTGTGTTATCTTGTGTCGTATACGGTAGATGTCTACTTGTCGGCTCGTTATTAACGTACTATTGGAAAAGTCGTGCAATTTTCCACGGAACGGTGAAAAGAAAACCCGACTTTTCTTCGCTTGTTCTATTTATTATTCGTGACGTCTTCGCAAAAAGTACGTTTCTTTCCCTGAATACATGCTTTGCTCGGCACACAACAGGTTGACTTGCTTGGTGTTGCTCACCATAGAGCAGCGGTGAAAGCGCAATGAGCAGCACCCGACACAGAGGACAACACCCTTAGAAAGATCCTATCCACCCGGCCTGCTGTTTTCAGTTTTCAGCAACAACAACAGGCGCAGGGCAGAGTGTCGCAACCTAGGTTTTGCTTGCGATTTCTTCAGTTAGTTCGCCAGCTCATTTTTCACGGTTGCGACTCCCATCTTTGACAACCACCTACTACCCAAAAGTAGACGGGCTCAAAAATCATAGGGCGGCAGCCGCGCTGACGGCCAGCATAATCTAGATGGCCAATCCGAAAGAATGAGCGTGTCGGAGGCCCTGTTGCTCTTCTGCTGCGTGGTGCCGTGGATTGATGATGTTGACGTGTCCGACCAACAAAAACAGATCATCTCGCCGCATGTTTTCCTACGGTATTTTGGTTAGGCGGCACACGTCTCTCACACACCTTATTATTATTGACTGAGCAGCACCCAAGCACCCAATACATACCCACGAAGCAGCACGGCGCCGGGAAATGATATCATATAGACAGCCGAACCGAAGGTTTCAGCGCGTTGGAGGTCTTGGTGCTGCTGTTGTGGTCGTTCTACTGTTTCCGTGTTTGCTACGTGCGACTGAAAAAAATTCCCCAGCACCAACAAGAACAACAACAACAGAACACCACAGCAGCAAGCAGTTGAAGACGAGAGAGCACCAGGCAATGTCTAGTTTTTCGACCACACCCACCCTTCCTTACTAGCAAAAGACGCGTAGTTTGAGGTATGATAGCATGACTCCATTGGCTCCGGGGATGGTGAGCTATCGTCCCCTGAATTTTAAGGGCACGACCCCTTAATAACCGTCCCGATCTCTATCTACCCAGGACCTTCGTATGTCCGTACTGATACAACATTCGACGCGGTCGATTCCCGTGGTCGCAGGCTAACTTACCCTAAAAAGGTACACTCAAATAAAATGGCCCCGAGGGGTCCGCAAGTCAATAGAAATCAACGACAGATATTCTGGAGTCCTCCACACTCTCTGCGCGCTATGCGAGGTAACAACTGAGACTAGGGGTCACCATCACGGGCCGGAGATAATGAGATACAGCCCCTTGGTTCAATCTTGGTACATCACAACGCAAGCAGAAACAAGGCCATCTATCACAGAAAAGAGAGAAAAAGAGAACAAGAGAAAAAGAGAAGAAAATAAAAGCAAACAGTAAGGAAAGAGAAAACGAAGGGANTTTCGTAGATCCGTGGTCGGCCCCGAATGCCTTCAGGTCGTCGAGCACACACTTCGGCCTGTTCTGTTCCTGTCCCCCCCAACGTCGCTCCTCCCCCCCTGCCAGTTCGCCGAGCATCAGTCGTTTCGGGAGTCCCCCGTCCGGCTGCCTTGCCAATGCTCCCGCGAACAGTAGGCGTCGTTGTCGGATCGTGGCTTCAACGCTCTGGCATTCGACCCTCTTCAGCGTCTGGGCGTG